TTTAAAAGCTAATATCATTGCAGACTAAGAATTTGCAAAAAATTAAAAACTCGAACTCAGGCAACATTAAGACCTAAAAATTAGCAAAAAATTAGAAACTAGAACCCGAGCAACGCCAGGTCCTACGTGCTAGTTATTAATTTAATGATATAAAAAAGTCCCCTACTGCTACTACTAATGATCAGGCCAAATTTTCAGAGCACAAGGTATTTGTAAATAAAAAATATTTTTTGATTTATTTATTTTATCTTTTTTTTTTTTTATTTAGAAAAATTCGAATATAACGACATCAAAATTAGCAAATAAAGTATTGGATGATTCAATCAAAAATTGGAATACTGTAACAAGACCTTTTCGTATGCCATTAAAGAACCTTAACCAACCTCTACATCTTCCGCTTCATATTAATGCAATGAAGAATAATCCTACACTTGGTAGACGACAAAGATTGTATAAACATAATTCCCAAACTTCTGAAGAAGAACTGAATGGAAATGTGGTCATTAAAAATTATTACATAAACGCCGATAATGTTACAATTAATTAACATATTGTTTAGATAATTGTAACGTTTAAATAATATATAAAAATAAATGCAAAAAATTATTAAATTAGTTGGTAGTGAATTTTAAAACAATGATAATATGTTTTAGTTATATAACGCACTAATTTGCCAAATAATAAATTAAACTATTTTAAACTCAAAAATTGCCGAATAATAAAATTATTCGGCAGTCTGATCATAGTTATCTACCAGATAATAATAATTTATCAAATAAGTATTAAGAGAAGTTGGTAACAATTTCTAGTGATTTTAATAATTTTGAAAATGATCTTTATGGTGAGGGATTACTATTGCCAAAAAAGTGAAAAAGCTATAAAAAAATATGAAAAGGTTATTAATTCTGATCTTAATGATTCTAATAATTCTAAAAATGATCATAATGAGAGATCACTATTATCAAAAAGGTGAAAAAGCTATAAAAAAAAAATATGAAAAAATTATTAATTCTAGTGACTTTAATAATTCTGATATGGATAATTCAAGTAATAAACAAAATTTAAGCAAACAAAAAGATAGAAGAAAAAATAAATATGCTATTACCTTATGCAATTCTGAAAATGAAACAAATCAGGTACAGATTTAATTTTTTTTTTATTAATATAACTACTATATATATATACTGTATTTCTTTTTTTATTTTTTATTATTATTATTATTTTTTAGAAATTATCTTTGAAAAAAACACCAATCGCTAAACCTCTAAATTTAAAATAGTATATATTATCAGAAATATTATTAATTGAGAATAAGGTTTATGCATTATACAGGGTACTATTGACTTATTAGTTTTTTTTTTTTTTTTTTCTTTTTTTTTTTATTCTTTGACAGGTCTTGCCATGACTTGACCTCTTAGTTTTCACCTAGTTGCCTATACAGGTACCTAGGTGCAACTCATCGCACTAGCTTACAGATAAGCCAGAAAATAAGCACTCTTTAAGAGCTTGTCCAAAAGAGGTTTACACCCTTTTGTATTCAACTCAAAATCGCATTATTCCACATTTTTCTTGTCTTCTTCTTCTTTACCAATAATTCCTTTCCTTTAACTCTATTTTTGTCTTTTTTCTTTCTAGGGCTGGACGATATGCCACTTTCTTTTTCAATTGAGTTTTTCTTGTCCTTCTTTTTTATGTTTGCTTTTTTTCTCATTCATTGACCTTAATGCATCTATCTTTCCATATAAAGTCATAAAAACCATTTCAGATCATATACGTAGCAAGTTCTATTGAATTTGCAGTTGTTTTCATCAAATTTAAGAGATTATTAATTCTATCAAAAGTGTCTATAGTGGATATGCCTTTAATTTAGAGCTTTCTTTTTCCACTTTTATCAGCTTCTGTGACCCCAATTAAGATTCTATGAAGGAGTCTTTTTGAACAGAGATATTTTTCTTCACTTGTGAGTTTAAACCATACTAGATTAATAGCTGTGTTTTCAATACGTTGCTATGTTGACTTGTAGTAGAAGCATTCTGCCAAGTGATCCTGAGTTTCTGCGGTGCTAGTATTGTATGCTATACAATTACAGCTTGTATAGATGTCTGGTCTTCTTGTCTCCAAGGTTCTGAGCACCGGTAAGTTTTCCGAAAGGCATTTCAACTGTGTTGTGAGTCTTTTGCTTTTCTGTAGCATATTACATTTAACACCTTTTAACTTCTTTATCATTTTTTAATATGTATGCTAATCTAGTTTGGATTATTCATTTCAGGTTCTATGGCTTGATTGATTCTGTTAATCTTCAATTTGTACCGTTCCAGGTTTCAAAGATATTTTTAAAAGTGGGTCTGGTTGATTTTTTGATTTTATGATTACCCCAAAATAGTAAAAAAAAAATCTTTGTTTTCAGATCCAAGTGAATGTTTGTTGGGTGTGGGAATGATGTGGCTTTCTTTGCTAATGCATCTGCTTTATCATTCTACTTGTTGTTGCTATAACTCTTAATTTTTTTGAGCTCTAAATTAATCTCTTTCGCTTTAATAAAATCTGCTATTTTGATTAAGATGTCCTAGTTCTTTTTTTTGAATAGTTGATCTTGAAATATAATACCTAGATCTTTTAAATTCTTATGCGACTTTACAAAGAGAGCTGTATTTATGACTTCTTTGATTTGTGGGCCAATTCCTTAAAAGTGCCTAGTGTTCAAAGATAAGCTGGCTTATCATGGCTTGCTGTAGCTTAATGCAGCTTATCACATGATAAATTCAAATTTATCACCAAGCTATGTGATAATTTCGAATTTATTATGTTATAAATTCGAGATTATCACATGGCTTGGTGATAAATTTAAATTTATCACGTGATAAACCACATTAAGCCGTAGCAAGCCGTGATAAGCCAGCTTATCTTTGAACACTGAAAGTGCCATTGATCAATAACAGAATGGATACTTATATTAAAATTTTTTGCCTTTCAATATTAAGCATGTTGTATTGTTTTTCCAAATCGGTATCAATATCGAGTTTGCTTCAAATATACAGCTTCTATTAATAATATTTGTCTTCAACAAACCTTGCTTGATTCGAATTTTTGCTGATTGACCGTCTCGATCTGAACTATTTAGTCTGCATTGTAGATCAGTTATTTGCTGTGTTAGGAGTTTTTGCCAAAGAAATTTACAATTTCCTAAATTTCTATATGCTAATAAAAAGTTGCTTGTTGTGCGAGGTAGCTCGATCTTGTTCTTTATTACTCTAATCATAGGTTAATATATTGAATCTAAAGCATTCTTAGAGAGGTTAAATACTTGTAGTATATAATATAGCTTTGGGATCAAATATATATTGTTCAAGTAAATCAGTTGGCTTAGCGTAAGCTTCTTGTTTTTTATTGTCCTAATGGTCAATTGGACTAAGAGCTTGGCCTTTTTTTAATCAAGGTAGACTGGGCTTTACTACTCAACCATATTCCTAAAAATCTTGTAAGTGTTTTGCCTTTTTCAGCTTCTACTTTCTTGTTTGCTAATAATATATTTCTGTTATTTGCATTTCAGAAGGATTGATTACTATTAGCTTTGACTTTTTTGGGTTTATTCTTATATCGTTTATTGCATAGAACTCTTCTGCAATCTTGAGAGTTGCTTCTAGTTGTGATTTACTATTAGCTATCCATGTTGTGCTATATGCGTAAGCTAAAGTTGCTTGTCGATATTTTGTTTCTTTAAAAGTATTTTGGCTTAGGTTGAGTAGCTTCTTTAAAAGGACTATGTATCCAAGTTTTGCATTGCTTTGAACTCTATGTATCAGTAGATTATAAAATATCCTCCATACTAACGGAGATAGCACTTCTCCTTGCTCAATACCATCTAATGCTATAATGTTCTCTGTGGGCCTACTGCTGTTAAAATTCTAGTTTTCCTTTCTTTAAATAGATTAATAATAAAATTTATCAAAGTGCTTGGGATTCGAATTCTTTTCATTACCAATTTAAGCATTTGGAGTGAGACTGAGTCAAATGCTTTTTGTATATCTTGGAACAAGAGCCATAGTTCTTTGTTTTGTTCTTTTGCATCTTCTGTAATGCTGCTAAGTATATATATCACCTTAGATATTGTATTTCTGGGTAAACCTGCAAAGTTTGGTCCTTTAAGGATTGAGTTTTTTGTTAGAATTTCCGAGAAACGTGTTGCTAGGACCTTTGTTATACACTTGCGAAATGTTTCTAAAAGCGCTATTGGTCTTAAAGAATTTAGAGTACAATCCTACTTGGCTAATTTTGGTATTGGGTATATCTGGCTGTACTTCCACTTAGTCAGGATTTTCCCAGATTTTAAACATTGCAAACTGAATTTTCTAAAAAAATCATGTGTTAACTAATTTACTTGTTTGATCAATATATAACCAATTTCTGATATTCCAGGTGCTATGTTGTTCTTGAGCTCTTTAAGCATATTGTGCCATTCTAGCTCTAAGATATCATTCTCTAAGCTTGTATACCAAGTCTCATTTATTTCTGATTGTGGCTCATACATTCTGGAGTAAGAAAGTTAATATTTGAGCTGCTTTTGTTGTATTGATCTTGAAAGAAGTTATGAGTTTTGGTTAGGACATCTTTTGGGTTCATGTATAACTGAAAATTATTATCGATTTTCTCTAATATTCTATCTAGCCTGTCTTTTGAGTATGGTTTATCCAGAATACTCTTTAACATCTTTCCTTGTTCAATGACTTATTAGTTTTATATAAGGTTTTATTGCTTATTTTTATAAATATTTATACCAAATTTTTTTAGGGTGCAATGTATGAATTTGTAGCCCAAATATGAACTTCTAATATATCTAAATATCACAAGTTAAGTACAACTAAAAGGCGATTATTAGTTAAAAAGATAAAATTGTTCTTAATTTAAGCAATAGATGATCTTGATTATTAATCTTTTATCTTAATAATCCTGACTTTCTGAATTGTATTAATGATTAAGCAATAAAAATGATGTTTTGTCATTCAATTAATCAACAATATATGTATTTTAGCTTTATTAAATAAGTTTAATTTAAGCCTTGCCAATTTATCTATATTCTAAAATATAGGTAAAAAAGAATATAATACCATAATAAGTAAAGGTTCTATTCAAATTATAAAAAAGAATACAATGAGTATTAAGGGTAAATAAGATAATTATTATATATTACAACTCAATATTTTATATTTATTCAATCTTTTTATAGATATTTTATCTAATGATGATTCAAATGAAAAGTATGATTCTGAATCAGCAACAACAGAAAGTAATAAAAGTTCTGAAAGTAATTAATATTATTAAAATTATTTTTAAATTCTTTCGATTTTACTAATATATATTAATAAATAAAACATTAGCCCAAACACTATATACAATAAATCCAGAGATTTTAACTAGATTATACACAAACCAATCTAAAGAATTCATAGTTAATACAATGAAGCCAAAAGCAAAACAGGCTAGAAAATCTCTAAGGTTGATTATTTCAAATTTAAAACAATCACAAAGAATGTCACAGGCAATATCTCTGGGAATTCCTAAAATGTAAAGAATAATTAATGAAAAGGAAAAAAGGAAACTCCAAAGAAGAAGCATAACGAATCATCAAAAAGTATATATAAATAAGAACAAGCTTTGTTAATTAGTGACCATATTGAATCTTTTTTATAATTAATTTATAAAAAAAACTATATAGGTATCAAACTCCAATTGTATCCACTAGAGTTCTGAGATCAAAAAACAATCTGCAAAACAGAGTCAATTAAATTTCAAATGAAAGAAAGCAAATTAGTGCTATATTAATTAGAATTAAAGAATAGCTTTAATATATTTATAATTACAATAAATGCTAAATGCTTTTTAAAATTAATACATATATATATAAAGTTTATACACAAAAATAAAATGTATATTCAAATAAATATTAAACAATAGTTGTATATTTTTTAAATGTTTTATTGATAAAAAGTAAAAGACAAATATTAGACAAAATATGCTTTTTTACACATTTATTATATAATAATTTAAACAAATTTTATATATTTTTATACACAAATAGTATATATTTTTTAACACAAATGTAAGATAATATTTTTTATAGGGTAGATATGTAAATTGTGCAAAGGACAAATGTGTCTGTGATCCTGTATAATTTTTGTTTGATTTTGCCAAGCACTAAAATAGATCAACTATTACATTAAAGTATATAATTTGCTATATTATAAAAAATTAGGCCATTAATTATTATACTAGTTCGAGAGAAAAGCATACTGAAAGTTGATATTATTCACAGTAAATTCAGATTTTTGTGACCCTAATAAATGTTTAATTTTACTAGTTTGATAAAGAAGTTTACTTTGATTTTAGTAATCAAAATTTTTGTGGATCAATCAATAAAATCTAACTTGAATATGCTACAGTCACACAATAGACAGCTACAGTATATAACGTTATTGCATAAACCTAGAAAATATGTACCAAGTTGAGATTGATAATTGACTGGAAAGCTGGTATAACATTCGAACTAGAAACAAAAATTACGTGCTTACATACATTGTGAGAGGGTGAATTGTGGCTTGTATTCATTTTTTGGCGTAGTCGATCGAGGTGGGCTAGAAAAGATCAACTATATCTGTCAAATATAAAAGAAATATCAGATCCGTCATATCTAACAGATATGTCAGATCCGTCAGATCTAACAGATATGTCCGATCTGTTAGATCTGATAGATATATCAGAACTATTATATCTGTTGGATATATTAGATATGTTCGATATGTTATATAGGTTAGATAGGTTAGATATGTTAGGTAGAATTAGCAAATTATAGTATAGCCGAAAATTGTATATAAAGACCAAGAGTCCGTCTTGAATAAAATACATCTCAGTAATGAGCTTTTAAACACTCGCTAAGTTATCGTTGCGCATATAATTATACACATTTATTCCCCTAATCCTGATAAATAAACCATCATATAACCACGTGATCCCGAATTGGAGCTTCTAGAGCTCTATTTGGCCCTAATAACTCAGACCAAGTCTTTCCACGCCCTCTTTCGTGCCTTCCACCATTGGGTCCAGATAGAGTTTTGCTAGTTTTATTGTTGTAGTGTGTTGATTTGGATTAGTTAGTCCTTAGTTCATATCCATGAGGCCATATTTCGATCATAGGGTTTGATTTAGCCCCTCACAATGTACGTTGTCTAGCTAATAAAATTACTTATTGCTATTGGTTTATCATTATTTAAATTATAATAATTAATAACATTTATTATAAAATGCAACTATGTGGTTTTCACCTATTAAATGTTTATGTTTTTTTTTTAGATTTTTCTAAGTTTGAATATAAAAATTTTCTATGATAGTGTTAGTATTTAGGGTTAGGGTTAGTGTTTGGAAAGGGTTTTAGGGGTGTAGAGCAGGACATTTTGCGCTGATCAATTAGCCAATTTTTGAGATAATATATACATAGGTGTAAAACACACATAGGCGCGTTTTAATAAAAGTTATCAACAATATTTTTTGGGGGATTTTTTTTTCTTGCAAAATATAAAAGCGATGCAAAATTTGTTATAAGTATGTATTTTATATTGTAAGCTTTATTTCGTTAATTACATACAAGAACCATCAAATTAGGACTTAGCAAAACAAAATAATAGAATATATCAAATCTACCTATGTCACTTCGCCAAAAATTTTCGTCGCTTATGATTCACAAGTTGAAGCAATAATAGCCAAATATGAAATAAGCAATGCTCGTCTAAAAGTGATATTAAAATGTGTATAATCT